GAGCCTTCAGAGAGACGCTGTTAGCAGCAGACAGTGGAAGACAAGAATGATTGTCAAGTTACTATGCTGCTAAGAAAGTTATAAAATCAGATTTTCAAAAAAAAAAACAGAGGGAGAGAGAAAAGGGCAAGAGTATTTAACTTGTCCCTTGTACTTTTTACCACTTATTGTCATAAACAATGAGGTAAGCAACATGTTACTTAGTACTTTATAGCTTGCCTCACAACTAGCAAGCTAAATAATCTGTTAGCACACACAAGGTTGCTACCAGATTCTGATATATTTTATTGGTCTAAATAGATTTTATTATTGATCAAAACTGCATTGATATACAGTGTATCACAAAAGTGAGCACACCCCTCACATTTCTGCAGATATCTAAGTATATCTTTTCATGGGACAACACTGACAAAATGACACTTTGACAAAATGAAAAGTAGTCTGTGTGCAGCTTATATAACAGTGTAACTGTATTCCTCCCTCAAAATAACTCTGAATACAGTCATTAATGTCTAAACCACCAGCAACAAAAGTGAGTACACCCCTAGACTATACCCCAAAATGTCATGTGACTAGTTAGTGTTACTAGGTATAAGGTGTGCATAGGGAGCAAGTGTGTTAGATTTTGTAGTACAGCTTTCACACGCTCTCATACTGGTCACTGAAAGTTCCAACATGGCACCTCATGGTAAAGAACTCTCTGAGGATCTTGAAAGATGAATTGTTGCGCTACATGAAGATGGCCAAGGCTACAGGAGGATTGCTAACACCCTGAAACTGAGCTGCAGTACAGTGGCCAAGATCATCCAGCTTTCTAAAAGAGGGAGGTCCATTCAGAACAGATCTTGCATTGGTCGTCCAAAGAAGCTCAGTGCAAGTGCTCAGCGTTACATCCAAATGTAGAGATTGAAGAGGTGGGAGAACAACCTGTCAGAGCTCAGACCATATGCATCAAATTAGTCTGCATGGCTGTCACCCTCGAAGGAAGCCTCTTCTGAAGTCTACACACAAGAAAGCCCGCAAACAGTTTGCTCAAGATATGTCAACAAGGGTATGGATTACTGGAACTAGGTCCTATGGTCTGATGAGACCAAGATTAATTTGTTTGGTTCAGATGGTCTCCAGCATGTGTTGTAGCTGTCAGGTGAAGAGTACAAAGATAAGTGTGTGATGCCTACAGTCAAGCATGGTAGTGGGAATGCCATGGTCTGGAGCTGCAGGAGTGCAGCAGATGTTGGGGAGTTACATTTCATGAACTCCAATATGTACTGTGAACTACTGAAGCAGAGCATAATTCCTTCCCTCTGGAAATTGTGTCACAGAGCACTGTTCCAGTATGATAATGACCCCAAACACACCTCTAAAGCCCCTTTACCACTGGCTCTACTTCAACAACCCGATTCGGTTCGGCTCCATTTCGGAGTGACCACCACCGGCCCAATTTGACTCTGTAACAGGGTTAGGATAGCTAACCCCCTGGTGGCGGGGGCGTGTAGCGCCCCGCCTCCAGGCGCCATGTGATGTCCTTCGTTACATGCGACCTAACGCGAGTTGTTGTTTTTCTGATACAAAAGAAGAAGAGAGAACTGAGCTATTTTTTATGGTCTGATTGCGATTTTTCTGAGATTTCAAGAAAATGCGCCGGTGGGAGGAATGCTGCGATGTGGTGAGGAGGAGCTGATCTCCGCCTTGCAGCGGGAGGAACGCAGGTGGCTCAGACTGTGCAGGTGAGCTAGCGATGACTTTTGTATTAAACTACTATAAAACTTGTAATAGTGCCGAATATACATGAGCTAATGTTAGTCAGGGTGTTGCAAATAACTTAAAAATGTCAGAATTAATTCATAATATAATTCAATGTGTTTTCAGATGTTGGTAAACTGCCGCTGCAGACCATCGTGGTTCTTCCTGCTCCTCTGAGTTGTAGGACGTCTCATCAGTGTCCGTCTTCCTGAATGCTGGTCTGTGTTTACCTTCAGGATGTTCAGAGACCTTCACCTTTCTGGAGCAGGAATCACATGAGCTCAATATGCTGATGAAACATTTCTGATTTAAAAAAAAAAGTGTCTCATTTTCTTAAATAGTAGAAGTGCATTAACAATCTGTAGTTTTTAACTTCTCAATAGTTTAATTATGATTCACCTGATGTCCAAGTTATACTGAGAACAAATAAAGCCGTATTCCTTCTAATCTGACTGGTTCTAGATCCATGTTTTCACATTTTGGCCACAAAGAATTAAAAGTTTAAACTCAGTCTTTTCTCACTTTCTTACATTGAAGATTCTCCAGGAAGACAGATAAACAATGAGTGGATAGAATGATGTCGTATAAACTAGAAACTAACAAACATGATTTCAAAATGTTTGGTTTGCTGAATAATGTATCCAGTTTTGGATGCCTTCATTGGTAATCTACAATGTTAAGTGTCAATGACATATTTATATAATATAATGTTATTTTCACTCTGCTTAAAGCTCCTCACGTTTTGGGAGGATTGTATTAGGTCCTTAATGCCATATAAACTACAGTACAATGTGTGGAGTGAGCATAAATAAAGAGACTTTGTTCACTGAGACGCAACTTTTATTTTTCTTTTGTTTGTCTCAACTCTCCCTGGAGCTCTGCCATCTCTCCTGGTAGCTGCTTCCTCCTGAAGGAGATCCAGTTGTTGTTCTGATGGTCAGTGGTGGAGAAAGCACTCAAAAAATGTACTTAGGTAAAAGTAAAAGTACCACATTAACATTTTACTTAAGTAAAAGTAAAAAAGTACTGGCTTTTAAAAATACTTAAGTAATAAAAGTAAAAGTACTTGCTGGATAATACCTAATTGCTAATATCATTAAGTGTACTGATCGTATTTAATTTTAATACATCAGAAATGTGCCATTGTAATGAACAATGCCACAGATAAAGGATGTTTTTATTGTGTTTACTCTGTAACATAGTTTAGACTTAGATATTTGATTCTATGCATCATAATTTCAGGGATGGAAACATCTCGTCTCCTGTCCTAACATAGCATGAACTTCACTTTTTTTTGCCACTAGTGGCATTTATTTTGAAAGAAATCCAACTGGCAGGGGAGGACATGGAACCAAGGAGCCACATAGAAGAGTTGTAGTCTAGACCACTGAACCGAGACCAAATCTCGGCACCCCGCGCTACGTGACACAATAAAATTAAGTTTACCTATCATTTCAATTTTGGGGGTAAAAAGGACAGGGCACCCCTATGCCTCTTAGGCGGTGGATCGAAACCACAATGTCCCTCTTACAATCTAATGAAGAACACGTAAGGGAATAGAATTTAAAAAAAAAAAAATGTTAGGGTTAAAATTAGAAAAAGGAAATTCAACCATCCATGGCATGACTATTTTGTTTTTAGTGGAAGAAAATATTTTCCGTCAGACTTGTGAGCACTTCGTCATCTGTAATTACACATCAATCATAAAGTCGAATCATTACATTTTCTGGAACCAAATATTATAATTATTACCTTTATGTTGCTTGTTATTTATTTATTATTTCTTTTTGTTACCTCAGGTCAACGTCATGCCATAGAAGGGTAATGAACTATTAAAGAACAAAGTCTGATTTTTTTTTTAAAAAGAATAAATGTTAAATTTTATGAAAATATAAAATGGGTGAAGTGTTAGGAGGATCTAATTGTCATCTTTAAAGTAAAAAAGTATTAAACTTATATTCATCAAGTTGTTAGAGTTAACCAAAATGTAAATTGAATAGAATGTTAGGATGATTATTTAAAAACTTAATAAAATGCAAAAATGAATAAAGTGTTAGGTTAATATTGTAAAATGACTAAAAGGTAGATTTTACTTAAAACTTAATAAAGTAAAATTAGAAATGTTAAGGTACTATCATTTAAAGTCAATGAAGCGATAATGAGTAATGAGTAAAACAATGTGTTAGTTTTAAAAACCAAACTTATTGAAATTTCTATGTAATATTTAAAGGTTAATGAACTACAGAAAGGATGCAATGTTAAATGAAATGGTAAGAAAAGCTTAGAAGTCTGAGTATTGAAAGGCACAGAACAATG